TCTTTGTCAAACTAAACTTTAGTAGTGCCTTCTATCCAATGTGGTACTATTCCTTTTTGGTAACTCTCACACTAAGGGTAGGTCCACACTACCCGCCCGATTCGGCGGGTAGAGATCGATCTTCTGGGATCGATTTATTGTGTCTCATCTGGCCGCGATAAATCGATCCCAGAAGCGCTCCCCCGTCGACTGCGGAACTCCTGCTCGCCGAGAGGAGGAAGCGCTGTCGACGGGGGAGCTTGTCTGCGCCACGTGGACCCGCAGTAAGCAAACTTAGTTCAATCTAGGAAACGTCGACTTCAGCTACGCTATTCTCGTAGCTGAAGTTGCATTTCCTAGATCGATCCCCCGCCCCAGTGTGGACCAGCCCTTAGTTGTGTGTGATGGGGTGGATGACAACTATTCACCCCAAGAAGACTCCACAACTCAGATTAAACATTCGGTGGTTCAGAAATGGCTAGGGGGCTCCATTCAAGAACCAAGAGACACATTTACACATTTTTAAAGTAAAAACTGTAAGGCCAATACTGCCTGAGTACAAATGGCATTCTGGGCAGAAATAAATTATAATCACATGCACTTTGCATATTAAGGTGGATCGATGTCTTCCATTAACTTTAAAGATTACCTTTCATATAGTCCTGTGGGTGATCACCAAGATCCTATCTTGTAAACTCGTACTCATGTGAGTTATTCTTACTCAGGACAATAGCCCCATGAAAGTAAATGACAAGATTAGACATAAGGGTCTGAGGGCTGGTCCACACTGGGGCGGGGGATCGATCTAGGAAACGCAACTTCAGCTACGAGAATAGCGTAGCTGAAGTCGACGTTTCCTAGATCGAACTAAGTTTACTTACTGCGGGTCCACGCGGCGCAGGCAAGCTCCCTCGTCAACAGCGCTTCCTCCTCTCGGCAAGCAGGAGTTCCGCAGTCAACGGAGGAGCGCTTCTGGGATCGATCTCTACCCGCCGAATCGGGCGGGTAGTGTGGACCTACCCTGACTTTCCTCAGCTTTGCTCCTTGTGTAGTCATGTATACCAGGGCAGAATGAGTGCAAAGTGGGTAAAAAATGCTGCCAAATCAAAATGGTTGCTTTTACACTCACTTTGCACAGGCGTAAATTAATGATGCACAAGGTGCAAGGCAGTGGAGAATCAGGCCCTAATTTATATACCACTACTTTGGGTTTATAAAGCGTTTTTATCCAAAGATCTCAAATAACTTTACAAGCAGTTCATAATCCTTACAACATCCCTGTGAGGCTACAAATAGTGAAACTGAGGCACTGAGAAATTAAGTGATTTGTCTTAGGTGTCAGATAAAATCTGTGTCAGCACTTACACTGAAATCAAGATCTGACTTCAGTCTAACACCAACACCTGCCTGAGCCTCCATGCTTATTTTACTCATGTCTGATCTTGCTAACTGAGAGTCTGTCTGGCTTTTCTGGACCAAATTCAACAGGTACAACTACCTGGGAAAGTGTCTGGGCTGAATTTAGCCATATTGCACGGTGATATGAGTTACACTTTGGATGTAATTTGATCAGAAGATAAGTGTGAGTGGTTAAGGGCTAGATTCTGTCTTTCTTACACTGAGTAGCAGCTTATTTTGCGAATAATGATATTGATTTGAATAGGTCTAACTCTTGGAGTAAAGTACTACTCATTCTGAGTGTGACTTTTGGCCAAAGTATTTTATTTATTTTGATTTTTATATTTGGCCACTTGAAGAGTGCCTATCTTTTACTCTAGGCATTCATGGACTATTCTTAAATATATAAGCACCAAATAGACCATACCTATAGCCCCTCTCTCCTTTAACCATTAATCAGTATTCATATCTACTAATGATAATCCGACAGTGAAAAACATATTTTAAATTAAGAACTCCCACCGCAGCCTTCCTGTTTCCTCACAGCTAGCCTCGCATGCTGCTCCAAAGATTGATAAACTAGAGCTGTTTTAAACTAAAGTAGAGAGTGAATTCCAAAGCTGAAGAGTGTGTATGGATAATGCCACATCAGCTGCTGCCCTCTGATACTGGGGGCTCCATCTCATCTGTCCCCTTTGAATGCAGCTGTGGCAATAATATGGCACAGGAGAGATGCAGTCTTTCAATAAGTAGCTCCCAGGCCATTTAGGGCTTTTATAGGTCAAAAGTTTTCAATTTTATCCAGTAGTTTGTTTTTTGTAATGTTCACAAAGTTCTTTGTAGCTTTAGCACAATCTGTATTCCATAATAGTATAAAACAGTATTTTACATAGGAAATAGCTTCATTTTATCTACATAGTTCTTCACGAGAGAGAGAGAGAGAGAAAGCGTCCTATATTTAGAGAACATGCTTCGTCTTTGATTTCATAAGGAGAGGTTACATAATAAAGTGCATATTCAAGGCACCTAACTTGGAATGCCAAATTATAGGTCATCTTAATTATTATGTACGTACTGTATATATGATAGATTCAATTATCCTTAAATGCTTAAGAAAGCTGCATTTAACTATGATTTACTGTAGTAAATGAAAGATTGCAATGAAAATTATGTTTTTAATTTATCCTTAAATATGCAAATTAATAATGATGGGTGTAAGAATATTAAAATATCTGCATGTATAATTAATACCTGCCCAGGTGACATACTTTGAGCATTTATTATAGAGTAAGAGTGATTTATGTGCTGTGTAATATAACTTGAGCTTGAAAAAGTTTTCCATTAACACTTTGTACATCCATACACATAACAGTACTGGATATATATTGTTCTCTAGAGGAATTCATTGCATATACTTTGCATTTTTCTTTACTGTAGAAGCTTTTTTAAATGGAAAAAAGTCTATGGCTACTTGTCTGCAAACTGTTTTTGTAATAATTGCTACATATGATCTTGATTATCATATGTTCAAATATAATGTATCATATTATACTTCTAAATGTATAATAACTGGTACATTATAATTTAACTGGTAGCTTAGAGCTGGGAGTTTGAATTTCCCAATGCTAGGTCCAGATGTTTAAAACACATTAGCAGAAAGAATCAACAATGCCTAATTCTTACATGGGACTGCCACATCGATCAGTCCATTGGTCCAGTTAGTCCTGTATTCTGTCACTGACCGTCACCAGTACTAGCAGCTTTAGAGAAAACTATGAGAAACCCAACAGTTCTGGAATTACCTATTTCATGGGCCATTTCCTCCTAACCCCTAAGAGTAAGAGTTTGACTTACAATCTGAAATATGACAGCTTATATTGCTTCCTACCTTTTTTTTAGTATTTACTATTATAATTCTGTATGTTCTTGTTATCCATATAAACATGCAATCCAGTCTTGAATCCTCCTAACCTCTTGGCCTCAATGATATCTTGTCACAATGAGCACTATAGGCAGGTTAGACGTTGTATGAAGCGGTTTCCTCATCATCGTTTTGAATTTGCCACCGTTCAGTTTCAATGAGTGTCCGCTGGTCTTGTGTTATGAGACAGGGAGAACATGTCTTTGAGGTACCTTCTCCATACTACTTACTATTTTGAATACTTTTATCATGTTCCCTCTTATTCATCTCTTCTTTAAAGTAAATAATCCCAACTTCTTTAACATCTCTCCATATGAGTTTTTGTCTCTCTAATCATTCTCATCATCTGTCCCTGTCTTCCTGATGTATCCTTTTTGAAAACTGAGTACAGTATTCCAGGTGAGTGCATATCATTGATTTATATAATAGAAAAATATTTTCTATATTATTTTCCATTCAATTCCCTTCTGCATCCTAATATTTTGTTTGATATCGACTGCTACGGCACTTAGATATAGTTTGTACACCATGATATCCAAGTCTTTTTCCTGAGTCATATAATTAATTTAGAGCCCAGTAGAGTATATGAGTCGTTAAGTGTTCCCTCCAATATGCATTACTTTGTATTTGTCAGAATTGATTTTCATCTGCCATTGTGGTGCTCATTCATTTAGTTTGGTTAGGGTCCTCTGAAGTTGTTGACAGTCTTCTCTGGTCTAGACTTACCTGAATAATTTTGTATCATCTGCAAGTTTTGCCACCTCACTACTCACCTCTTTTCCAGACGACAAATAAATATATTGAACATCAGTCTTTGTATGGAATTTCGTGGTATCCTGCTTTTGCCATGGTAAAAATTGACCATTTATTTCTACTCTTTGTTTTCTGTCTCTTAGTGCGTTCCTTCCTGAGCAATGAACATTCTTTGTCTCTAGTACCGTGCGTACTTAGTTCCTTCAATAGCCTTTTGAAAGTCCAAATAAATTGTCAACCGGTTCTCCTTTATCTACTGTGTTTTTGATGCATTTTAAGAATTCTAATAAATTTGTGAGGCATAATTTTCCTTTGCAAAAGCCACGGTGGCTAGATCCTTAATTTATCATGATTTACTAAGTACTTTATAATTCTATTTTTAATTATCATTTTGATCAAATTACCAAGGAAAGTAGTAAGACTTCATAGTCTGTAATTCCCCAGATCACCCCTTCAGTATCTTTTAAATATATATATATGTACAATATTTGCTACCTTCTAGTTCTTTAGCAGAGTGGCTGATTGTAATGAGAGACTGCACATTTTTCCTAGCAGCTCATCAACTTTACTTTTAATTTTTTTCAAAATTCTTGAGCATGTACTGTTGGCCTAACGACTTGTTGCTTTTTAATTTATGAATTTGTTCTAGCACTTCTTCTTTTGACACCTCTGTCTCTGATAGTACCTCATCTTTATTATGAGTAAAGAATAGATTCAGGGTAGGTATCTTCCCAACATACTCCCTGGTCTAGAAACAGAAAATATACCATGCTCCCACTAAAAGGATATTAGAATATCCAACCTTCAATCCATATAATGCATTTTAACATTAAATCAAAGAATACAGTCTAAAAAACCCACCTACCATCCCTACTATTGTAGTGAATTACCTATAATATGTTGTTTCAGAATTTCATGTGTTAATAGGTGTGTTGCTGCTGATTAACAGGTTTTAGATGCAGGAAGACTAAAAGAATATAATGAGCCATACATTTTGCTACAAGAAAAAGAGAGCCTGTTCTACAAGATGGTGCAACAAGTGGGCAAGGCTGAAGCTGCTGCTCTGATTGAAACAGCAAAACAGGTAGTTTTAAAAGAAGTTGTAATTAAGTTTGTCTCTATAGTCTTATTTTTCACAAGTTAGCACATTCCGTATTAGAGCAGGCCCCATCCTGTAGTTAAGGGTCTATCAGCTTTTCAATTCTAAACCCTTATATTCTATGCTTTATTACTGGGATATAAAATAATATACATCCAGAGCTCAAAATGATATATATTCTGAGTTGAAAGATTATGCTTGGGATTGTTTGCATCTGTATGTGTTTGTGCATATATTCATGTATAAATAATATAGTATGTGTCAGAGTATGTTATAGACATACATCACTCACAAAAAAATGACCCTGAAAGAACGTTAAGGTTGTGAGCTCAAGCACTCAGAAGTTAGACAATGACAAAATTAAGGTTGCCCGTGTGACCTAAATTTGGCCCCCTTGTGACACAGCTGTTAGTTATATGATCACTTACTATCTTTTCCTTGCTCAGTGCACAAGATGAATGGTGCTCATTGAATGAGTGGCTGTTCAATATTTTGCTTTCTCTTCATTGTTCATTGTATGGTTCCAGGCCTTATTTATTGCACACTATTCAAACCAGCTCTGAATAAAGAATTATTAATTTCCTTGTGAGCTTTTCTACGACGCTTAACATTACAGCATCTGAGTGCTTCACAAACATTAACTGATTTATTTCCACAACACCCCTCTGAGATGAGGGGGTAGTATTATTCCTACTTTACAGATGGGGAGCTGAGACACAGAGACATAAAGATCAAGTGTGTATTAATTTGGGGTGCCCAATTTGATAAGCCTGCAGCCTGATTTTTTTTAAAGAATTTTGCATTTTTTAGCACTTTTTGTTCTGAATACAGCTCCCACTGATTTCTGTTGCAGCTGTGAATGCGTAGCATGTCTACAAATCAAACTCCAGTTCTCTCAAATTGGGCACCTAGGAAATGAGAACACACAGTTAATGACCACCTCTGACAAGTCTGGTTTAAGTGACTTGCTCAGCATCACATAGGACAGGTGTGGGCAAACTTTTTGACCCGAGGGCCACAGCTGGGTATGGAAATTGTATGGCGGGCCATGAATACTCATGAAATTGGGGGTTGGGGTGTGGGAGGTGGTGAGGGCTCTGGCTGGGGGTGTGGGCTCTGGGCTGGGGCCAGAAATGAGAAGTTCAGGGTGCGGGAGGAGGCTCTGGGCTGGGGCAGGAGGTTGGAGTGCAGGGGGAGGAGGGTGCGGCTCCAGCTGGGGGTGCGGGCTCTGGGTGGGGCTGGGGATGAGGGGTTGGGGGTACAGGAGGGTGCTCCGGCCTGGGACTGAGGGGTTTGGAGGGTGAGGGGGATCAGGGCTGGGACAGGGTGTTGGGGCACGGGAGAGGGTCAGGGGTGCAGGCTCTGGGTGGCACTTACCTCAAGCAGCTCCTGGAAGCAGCGGTGTGTCCCTCCTCTGGCTTCTACACGGAGGTGTGGCCAGGCAGCTCTGCGCGCTGCCCTGGCCACCGGTGCCGCCCCTGCAGCTCCCATTGGCCGTGGTTCCCAGCCAATAGGAGCTGCGGAGGCAGCACTTGGGGCGAGGGCAGTGTGCGGAGCTCCCTGGCTGCCCCTATGTGAAGGAGCCAGAGGGGGGACATGCCACTGCTTCCAGGAGTCGCGCGGAGCCACAACACTCATGGAGCAGGGCAAGCCCATGACCCCGCTTCCCAGCCAGAGCGCCGGAGCTGGGAAAGCCCTGGACCCTGCTCCCCAGCGGGAGCTTGAGGGCCAGATTAAAATGTCTGAAGGGCCGGATGTGGCCCCTGGGCCGTCGTTTGCTCACGCCAGACATAGGATCTCTGTGGCAGAGGCAGGGATAGAATCCCATTTTCCAGATTGTTAGTCAACTGTCTTAACCATGAGACTCTCCTCTTTTTCTGCAATACCTGCCTCCAACTTCTGCAACAAACAGGGCAGGAGTCCTACAGACAACAGCCTCCTTCAGTACACAACCCTGCTCTATTCTCAGAACAGGCCCATCTTGTGCACTGAATGATGCAGGGGTCCTATGAACAAACAGTATTAAAGAGCGTACTATAATGCATATGACGAAGGGGGAGAATTAAGATTGCACAGGCAACTTTATTGTGATATTTCCTAATTTCTTACTGTTTGACTTTGCAATCTTAACATTAAGGTAGTTTTTTGTATGTAACTTCGTGGATTTTTAAAAAAGCAACCTGAAAAATCAAATTCCATCACATGGAATTGTATGGTCTCCTACACAGTAGTTCGACTGTTCCAGAATCATAGAAGATTAGGGTTGGAAGAGACCTCAGGTAGTCATCTAGTCCAGTGGTCCCCAAGGCAGTGCCCGCGGGCGCCATGGCGCCTGCTGGGGCATTTGTGTGCACCAGCCTACTGACAAGGGAGCGCTTCTGCTGGACAACCCGCCGCCGAAGAGTGCGGCTGCCAGACAACTAGCCGCCGAAATGCCGCCGAGAAGCGGCAATGCCAAGAAGCGTCGGCGGTATTTCGGCGGCGACGCTTCTCAATGACGCCGCTTCTCGGTGGCATTTCGGCAGCTGGTCGTCCGGCGCCCACCACACTCTTCTGGGAACATGAATATGTTATTGCAACAGAAAGGTTGGGGACCACTGGTCTAGTCCAACCCCCTGCTCAATCTGAATCTTTAGATCCACCACTCAGACCTCTGGTACTTGAGCTAAAGGAGTAGCTGATCTCAGTAGTAGGTTGTCATCTTCTGTGTGGGCCAGCCACTGGAGGTAAATGCAGCACAAATTTTGCCAGCTGGTTATACAGCTATTTGCTGAGTAGAGAGGAATATTGACTCTGGAATCCTGGTTTCTATTCCAGATTCTGAGGGGACTTTAGTGGCTTTAGTGACAGACACTTCTGCCCCGACCCCTCCAGCCTGTCCTTGTCCAGTCCCCCACCCCTTCAGCTCCACATCCCAGTATTCTCTCTTGATCTTTCTCACAGTCTCTTTGTTATGATCTCCAGGTAGCCCATCTGCCCTGGCTTCTGACCTGTGCTAGATGACTTCAGTAGAGCTGAACCTCTTTCCTCCTTTCCACTACCCCCCAAATGTGTGTCAGTAAAGAAAGGAGTTTGCAGTTTGCTTCAGTGACTCAACACAATGGTTGCTGCATTCTTATCAAGGCAACCTGGCTTGCCAAACTATGCTGCTGGCTTTCCCCATTCCCTGACAGCAAACTGAACTCCAGCTCTGGCTCCCTTGGATCTTGCTGCCTGGCTTCATAGAACACTATGAGGAGCATGCATTAGAATCCAATTTGTGGGGAAGGTTGGAGAGCACTGGGTAGGCAGCATGTCTGAGATTCAGGAAACAAAATGGCCGGTGCCTGGCTGCAGCAAAGTGGAGAATTGCATAGTAAAAATGGGCAATTCTTTGACATCTTGGAAAAATGGAGCGATGGCATTAGAGTCCACAGATTTCAATGAACAGGGCACATCATGCCCCTCAAGGTTATTGTTTCTGGCTTTCTGTAGATGCAGGAAGAGACCACTGCATAAGTTCACACTTTCAAGGTTTTCTTCACAGCAGTGATGTCTAGAACAATTTTTTTTAATTTTTACAAAAAGAAAGGGGAGATTCAATTGGAAAACAATTTAGCAGCCAGGGGTGTATTCTGCAGCGAATTCTACAGCTCCAGAGTACACAAGGCCCTATTTATAATTATGTGTACTAATTAACAGGTTTATTGAATGGTAAAAGCAAAGCAGATCTTACATTATAACTCTCCTGTGTAGCACCAATTTCAGAACTCTGGAAACAATTCTTTGTTCTTTGATCCCAGCCAGAATGTATTCCTGAGCGTGCTATGTTTCCCAGGATGTTGCATGGTGAATCATATTTTGATACATTATTAGAGAAAAGGGTTCATCATATTCTGTATGGTCATTATATAGAAAACCAAAAAAAAAAGTAAATTTGATATATCTGGAATTTATAGAAATTATGTTTAAAGGAACCAATTAAATGTATATAAACAGAATTAAAAGTTCTAAATCAGTGTTTGTCTACAAAGCTAAAACCAGCTTCATGGGAAATTAGGGCTCAATCTTGCAGAGAATGAACAGGCTAGAGCCAAGGCTCTGAAACTGTCATCTGCAGAGAGTTTGACCACATGGTGATGTCTCCTTTTGTTTCCAGTTGCAAAACTGCATTCAAAGACAGATCAAAATATGTAATACAATTGCCTAATAGTACTTGTCTATGTAATCACCTGCTGTTGACACAGGAGTGTTATGTGATTGTATACAGGAGGGGAAGAGATCCATGAACCAATCTCTCTTAGAATGTGGTTCATGCTGTGAAGCAGTTTGATAACTACTGGGCTAGAGGGTAGATACAAGCTTATAGATTCATAGATTCTAGGACTGGAAGGGACCTCGAGAGGTCATCTAGTCCAGTCCCCTGCCCGCATGGCAGGACCAAATACTGTCTAGACCATCCCTGATAGACATTTATCTAACCTACTCTTAAATATCTCTAGAGATGGAGATCCACAACCTCCCTACGCAATTTATTCCAGTGTTTAACCACCCTGACAGTTAGGAACTTTTTCCTAATGTCCAACCTAGACCTCCCTTGCTGCAGTTTAAGCCCATTGCTTCTTGTTCTATCCTTAGAGGCTAAGGTGAACAAGTTTTCTCCCTCCTCCTTATGACACCCTTTTAGATACCTGAAAACTGCTATCATGTCCCCTCTCAGTCTTCTCTTTTCCAAACTAAACAAACCCAATTCTTTCAGCCTTCCTTCATAGGTCATGTTCTCAAGACCTTTAATCATTCTTGTTGCTCTTCTCTGGACCCTTTCCAATTTCTCCACATCTTTCTTGAAATGCAGTGCCCAGAACTGGACACAATACTCCAGCTGAGGCCTAACCAGAGCAGAGTAGAGCGGAAGAATGACTTCTCGTGTCTTGCTCACAACACACCTGTTAATACATCCCAGAATCATGTTTGCTTTTTTTGCAACAGCATCACACTGTTGACTC